TGAACCTCGTGTCAAGAGTTTAAACCATATTCTGACCGTTCTCGGCCCACCATACTGAGACACCCTAGCTTGCACTGTTGAAGGGTTGTGTAGTGGCTCAGTCTTAGGTACGAGTGTTTTGGCTTAGAATATTGAGAATTAATGTTATACTTAGCTGTTAATAGTTGATTATGTTTTGCATTTCAAACTCAATAATGATAATTTTAACGGACAACTATTTGGCTACAGGTCTCCCTCAATTTTAAGACCAGTTTTCTTGGTCTTTAGCAGCTTCGGTCTATAATTAGAATGTGAATTTGAAAGAAGAGACATTTGTTAATTTGGGACCACAGAAAAGTGGTCTTTAATTGGAGGGGTCACTAATTGGAGAGAGTCCTGTATAATAATATTGGAAGTAATAACGACTATACTTAATGCAATTACCTTTGGTGATTGATGTTCATATACTTTGAATCTATATAATCTTTACGCACGATATAGACGTAGTATATTGATATCATTTTTGTTTACAATATTGTATAATTACGGCTATGTCATTGTTGTCTATGTGGTATTAAAGTTCTTTATGTGGAGGGGTCATTAATTGGAGGTAATCCTGTTTAATAATATTAATAGTAATACGCCTATATACTGTACGTAATACAATGATGTTGATATACACGTTTTACGTACAACGTAGATAGTATATTTCATTTTTGTGTACAATATTGTATAATTATGGCTATTGTTGTCGATGATGATATTAAAGTTCGTTATAGATTTGTCAAATATCTTAAATATTATAATATTATATATATTATATTATATTATATATTATGGGGCAGTGTTGATATAATAATGACCGCTTTAAAATAAATTTTATCACACTGTCGTGGGTTTTCTTCGAGCCCTTCGGTTTCCTCCCACTTTCAATGGTCATTAATCTGTATTCCTAATGAAACAGTTTTAAGATGAATAAATATTGTGATTTGTTTGAATGAGCTTTAAGTTACCCGTAGTATTGTTCATTGAAATATTGTGGAAAATTGTATATATAGCCTTACAATATCACTTCCATGTTGATACGCCCTTATACACGCAGCGGGGGGGGGGGGAATTCTGCTGCTTTTGTATGTATTTAAACTCAAAATTGCTCATTAAAATATTGTCGTAAATCTGTTCAAAGATAAGGAAAATTGTATATATGGCCTTACAATATCACTTCCATCTAATGATACGCCCTTATACACATCCACGCAGCTGGGAGGGGGAACTCCGCTTCGTTTGTATGTAATTTAACTATATGCTTTTAGCAAAGATCATTGCTATTGTTATAATTATTACTTGTATTATAAAGAGACCATGAAGACGATTGTAAGACATTTCGGGAGAAAGAACTGATATGATATAGGATAACAATCATAATAAATCGAATTAAAATTATTTAGTTAGCATTTTCATTAAACATTTCATTTCATTTCAATACATATTTGTCAATACAAAAAAAAATTGACAGAGCCACAAAAACAACAATCATCATAACAAAAGTTGGGAGCCATATACAAACATGTATGAAAAATAATAAAAATACAAAATATAAATATACACAGAAAAAGCAAGATGCCAAGCTAAAAAAAAAACAATTAAAACAGTGTTGACTAAAAATCAGATTTCATTTGACAATAAACCTGATATGTTTAAATATGGTCATGACATCAAATCAAGGCCATTTAGGCACATGAATATATATGGGCATACAATTTTGTCAATAACATTTGAAAGTCAACCGAGAAAATATACAATTAAAACTTATTGTACAAAATGCGTTTTATCTGAATTAAGCGCTAGAATAAACATGACATGCTTAAATATGGTCATGACATTACATCACAACCACGATATAGGCACATCATGACACATATGAGCATACATGTTTTTTGTCTAACATTTGAAAAACAACAGAGGAAATATACAATAACAGTTATTTGCTAGTCTATAAAGTGCTGCCTGTCATTTTACCGTCTATTAATAACAACAATGTTGAACTAAATTTGTTTTATCTGAATTAAGCCCTAGAATAAACATGACATGCTTAAATATGGTCATGATGACATCACGTGGGCACATTATGACTATATATGGGCATAAAACAGTATTTTTTTGTCAAATAACGTTTGATAGTCTGGACGATAGGGCTTAAAAAATTGAGAGCCTTCATAGATATTCCATATTATTCATGTTCTTCCTTATATGGCGTTCTTCAAAAGGCCAATATAAATTTTGGAATTATCCATGGTTCGCTTCACACACCCAACCTGTTGTATTCCCATATATAGTCAGTCACGATGTGCCTATGTATTCCCATTATTATAGTCATGATGTGCCCATAATATTGGCATTTTTTGCCAATACCGTTTAATAGACTGGACAGAGCTTAAAAAGAGCTACACTGTCAATAATTAATTTTAAAAAATTATGTTAACGAAACACGACAATGGGTCACTGACGTCATTTTGTTTGGTGAACTGGTGACCAATCACAAAGAAGCAAGATGATTTCCAAAATGGTTTTACTGAAAGGTTTTGAGCGTTATAACTTTTGTAGGTCTTGAGCGTTATAACTTTGGTAGCTCCAAAACCTACAGAGAGCCCCATAGATCCAGAATTCCGAAGAAAGGGACTGTCTACAGTCTGATAAGGCCCCGGAATAAACTTCCTGATGACATTCACGGGAGGAGATTATAATGGCTCTTAGGATGGCCCAACATTTGGTTTGTTTTTAGACGATAATATTAGGAATGGGCAATCATTGAAATAACGTTGTTTGAATCGGCATTTGTTTTATCCGACTACGTCGTCGAGGATGGGGGAGGGGGTATATGTTTGTTTTTGACGAGGGAGAGGAACTCTTTCATTTACACTGCTGATGCCGCAACTGCTAAGCGTCAGACAGCTCAAGATTATAAGACACTGAAATATATTTCTTAATGAACGTGGTAGCTTGAAGTAACATGGCAAACCAGCACCTTTACATCTACCAGCCGATCATGCTCCAACTGTTACATTAGGAGCAGCATATCCTACCAAGTACATGTTATACTCTTAAGTGGAGAGAGATACATGTAGGTAAAAGTTCGACTGAATAATAGTTGCGGTAGTAAAATGGATCAATTGTAGTCCCAGCTAACAATTTTACGTTATAATAACTTTTCAGGTTGGTATTCAAAAAGTCTTTTTTGTTTGGTTGTTTGATTTTTTTTTTTTTTAATAACGTTGCAAATATTGCTATAACATTTTGATTGCGTTATTTTTCATCGCGAACAATCGCGAATGTTATAATTAATATTATAATTTCCTGTCAATAAAGTTTTCCAATATTTCCGCATTTAGGTTTATCAATGCGATGGCTAAGTCATTGAATACTCTGGCTAGCTGAGTTTCACAGATTATTCACATGTTAACAATGTTAGTAATGTTAACCACTCCAGTGTTTTGTGGTTTTATGCTATGCCTAAACGAATACGGTACCTGATTACGAAAATAAGTGTTTCAAGTTAAAATGCTTTTAGTACGTGTACATTAGAGTATTTAAATGTTTCGTATTACACAGTCACTTTTTTAAGCAATGAAAACATAATACTGTACAATTACTGTTTGTTTATTGGAAATTTGTGAAAAATACATTTACAGTTTATAAGATAAGACGAAAAGTATAAGCCTAACATTAATAATATTAATTCATGTAAAAAATAAATATAATTGTGTTTTATAACACACGTAAATAGTCCCTTGTCATTTCAATTATAAATTTAACACCAGGTGACATTTAATGGCAATATCTTTTGATTTGCGTCATATTCAAGAGATTTAATTTCATTTCCTTACTAAAGCAATCACTCCATAGAGCCACGTGCTTGAATGCAGTACCAAAAATACGCAGGCTGTATATGATTTGCGAAACTACAGCATACCTTCAATTAAATATTTCATACCTTAATGGAATCGCCCGTAGTATTCAGGTACATTATTTTCTGGAGTGCTGCAGCCATCCTCAAGAAAATAACAGAATCATATCCAGATACATTTTTTTCTTGAGTACTGCCTACTAAAATGCAAGGGGCGATTCCATTGTTTTCTTATAGTATAAGTTATACCCTCCATGGTCATACTATGCTCGATGGTAAAAATTCTAATTTCTGTGACCTTTACCTTGTCCGTTAACCTTTACTTCCGAAAATTGAAAGGTGTCGTTCTTTGGTTATTATATATCATTTCAATAAATTTGATGATGATCAATTCATTAGGTTTTGCTTAATCTTGCTAAATCGACAGACAGCAGTGAATACAACCACCTTAGCGGAGGGAAACATTTCATTCTTGTTGTTCAAAGATGATTCACCGTTTCATTAGGAAGAAGGAAGAGAGTTAGGTTTGAAAATATTTTCACAATGTATCGAATGACAAGAATCCAGTTAATCTAGCAAGGGAAAAATATTTTCATTCTTTGAAAGATGAACATGAGTACTATTCAACTTGGCCATGAACCGTTATTAAATGGAACAGACGTCCGCCATCTTTCAATTCATTAAATTATCCTTACCATTATTAATGTACTCATAAACGTATTGTTTGTGTAATATATTGATTAGAAATAAGATAGAACGCCACATGATATCATAACATAACACAATTATAAAAAGAAATATTGCACAAGTGTAGGCGTGGAAGTATGATTTTCATTAGGCGTATACATGGTCTCTTTAAAAGTTCCCTGTTTTTTGTTCAATTAGCACGTTGTGGGTTATTCTCGGTTATGTTACACAAATTTCAGTCTACATATCTCACTCGTGCTTCAAGGCGTCACAGACAGGGCCGCCAATTAGAGGAGAAACTGTAACAGGGTAAGGGTTGGTGTGGGCCCCCAATCTACCAATGCGAAGCGCGAAAAAGAATGCGACGAAGGCGCAAAACAAATTGTGGGGTGGGGGCTGTCAATTTGGAGGGGCCCATTATCCTTCTTTGGTTATTATATATCATTTCACTAAATTTGATGATGATCCATTCATTAGGTTTTGCTTAATCTTGCTAAATCGACAGACAGCAGTGAATACAACCACCTTAGCGGAGGGAAACATTTCATTCTTGTTGTTCAAAGATGATTCATTAGGAAGAAGGAAAAGAGTTAGGTTTGAAAATATTTTCACAATGTATCGAATGACAAGAATCTAGTTAATCTAGCAAAGGAAAAATATTTTCATTCTTTGAAAGATGAACATGAGTTCTATTCAACTCGGCCATGAACCGTTATTTAATGGAACAGACGTCCGCCATCTTTCAATTCATTAAATTATCCTTACCATTATTAATGTACTCATAAACGTATTGTTTGTGTAATATATTGATTAGAAATAAGATAGAACGCCACATGATATCATAACATAACACAATTATAAAAAGAAATATTACACAAGTGTAGGCATGGAAGTATGATTTTCATTAGGCGTATACATGGTCTCTTAAAAGTTTCCTGTTTTTTGTTCAATAGCACGTTGTGGGTTATTCTCGGTTATGTTACACGAATTTCAGTCTACATATCTCACTCGTGCTTCAAGGCGTCACAGACAGGGCCGCCAAGAGGAGAAACTGTAACAGGGTAAGAGTTTTGTGTGGGCCCCCAATCTACCAGTGCGAAGCGCGAAAAAGATTGCGACGAAGGCGCAAAACAAATTGTGGGGTGGGGGCTGTCAATCTGGAGGAGCCCATTATTAGGGGATTGGGCCCCGGGGATCTTCCCCCGCCCCCTCTTGGTGGCCTTGTCGTCAGATGTTTGTTGTTATACCTTATAATATACTATAGTACCATACATCATCTTAATAAGCCTAAATTATTCCACCTTCAAAATGCTGAGTCGGTTTCGATTTGGCCCAGGTTTTGTTTGTACAGACTTTGGATGAAGTGGCTATCTACTAATGGGCCATGTATGTATAAACCTATATATCGACAGGTTCATTTCCACTGGAGATTTCCAATTTTTAACGTGTGCCATGTTCCGTTCTATTGTCAGACAATCTAATACCTGTACTAGAGTATAAGTACAGTAGGCCTATATCTGGTTTTACAATGTTTTGCATTATATATCTGACATTTAGTCCTAGGCGTACAATCATCTCGATTCCCTGACTAGCATGGAGATGCATCACTTGTCTTTGTCTTTGAAAGCTCTATATCTTCACTTTTGTTCTCATGATTCTCTAATCCATCGGCTCTGTTGATTAATATGTTAAACGAAGCCGAAAGCAGGGCCATTCCTAACGATATGTAAGCTATCAGAAGCATGTCGCCCATAATTCGCTCCATTTGGTCGTCACTCGTGAACGAATTCGGAAGCAGATCGCCAAAACCGATTGTGCTGAGCGAAATGAAAGCGAAATAAAACGAGTCTAAAAAGGTCCAAGGTTTTTCCCGATACCAAATTAACAACGCCCCACCGGTGTTGTACATAAGATAGAGCAAACCAACGTAAAACAAAGGGACTTTGAAATTGGCGGGAACGGACGTACAACCCGTTACATTTACTGACATTTCCGAATCAGAATTAGAATTGTGTCTTCGAATTTCTTGAGTTGCTTGTCCATTCTGTAATTTTTGTTCTCTGTAGTCATGATCAATACCGCCAACGGGCTTGGATTCAAAATCAAGTTTATTTGGTAAAGATGAATCGTTGATATCTTCCGAAAAATAACTCTGTTGAGAAACAGTCGTCACGGTAGATTCAGACGTCAGCCCTGATTGCCTCTCTCGGCTCCGATCTACGAAGCAGCTAAGTTGATAGTACGTAAATGCAATGAGCCGACTCAGGTGTGCTCCTATACGCGCTAAGAAAATCAAGTTCAACGGGATGCCGAAGAGTGCATACACCATCGTAAGTCCACGACCCAATTGACTTGTCGGAACATAGTGACCGTAACCTAATATGAAAAAGTGAGGAAACCGTTATAAAGGCACCGATATTATGCCTATATGTGGAAGTCGTAAATAATGTTCTCATACTCGCAAATTTCTCTTCTTACCGTTTACAATAAATATATAAATACATACTGTAAAGCATTACCGCAAGAGTTTATCTCTTTACGTATTTATATAATAATATAATAATAATAATAATAATAATAATAATAATAATAATAATAATAATAATAGTAATAATAATAATAATGAATTAGTTTAATCAAGATCGAACTATTATTATTATTTATTATTTATTTAATATTAATAATAATAATAATAATAGTTCGATCTTGATTAAACTCATTTTGCTAAAGGCTCAATACCGTAAACACAATATAAACAAACAGATAAATAATAATGACAGTGCTCAAATAGGAACATGTTTAATAATCGTATCAAGCATAGCTCATCAACGACTAGTTTCGTATATATATATAATTGGTCAAACATGACATATTAATTAATTTGCTAATTCATTTATTCAAACATCCAACATTGCAAAAACACTTATTAATAAAATATAATATTTAATCGTGAATAGACAAGTTTAAATTTGTCGGATCTAAGACACAGCTATTTATGATGAGTGGACGTTAATCAATCTGTATTTATTATTTAATTATATAATCTAATCAGGCAATACATTATGATACTTCATGTTCAAATGTAAATAATCAAAAATCAATCAATTTCACTTTACAAGTAAAGTACATCACAGCTATGTTTAATCCCTAAAGGCAGGGAAAACCACTAAAACGCCCGAGATAATCAATTGTAAACAATGGAAACAACAAGCACAATGTAATCAATACCTATTAACCAGAGAATAGACACGCTCTACCATTGTGTGCAAAACATGAAGTAGCCCTGAAATAATCTTTCTAGCTTTACAGTCTAATTTACATGTTTAGGCTTAATCTATTTAGGGGTGGGGTGGTTTTATTTAGTTTCTGTATTTTTTAACAGTCTTTAGTATATTTACTTTTCTCATTTTGAACATATTTTTCCCTCGTCTTTTTAATGATTTCGTGGAAAGCAATAAATATTACTAACTTAAATTAGGCTTATGGAACTGGAATGGAAATCGATTTAGTGTCTTCTTATTACACATCGTCTCAGTGTTTTTAAAGAATATAAAAAAGAAACAAAACAAATTAAAACTAATGCATGAACTATTCTAAAACTAATAAGAAACAACTTATTAAGAACGAACCAGTAACACTGCACCGTTTACACATGGCTGGGTGGAACAGTATATTGGAGTAGGCCTAGCTCGGCTAACGTCATACTTTTTAGAACACAGAGGCACGCACAATATCATTATACGGATCCCCGAAGTTCTATGGAGAGAGAGAGAGACTAGTGGTCTTAGATCCGTAATGATATCGCACGGGCCTCTGTGGTCTACACGGCATGACGCTCGTCGAGATAGAGATTGCGGTTCGATTCTCACCAGAGACCTTTTTTTTCATACAACTATAATAAGGAAATTTCGTTGGTGAATTTGTTTGATACGATTTATAATATCATGTTCCTATATTTGATTTGTACTCTTAGGTGTTATATTTAAGCTCCTGAAACAGTTAATAAAACCTCTTATGTTATATACAGGCCTTGGCCCTTAGTACTTGGCCCAAAGTTAGATTATCCAACAAGGTGCTCGCCGGTTTCCGAATAGGCCTATGTTTACTCGTGTTTGGTTGAGTTGTTACGTTGAAAACATATTAAAGAAGTTTTAAGGAGGGTCTGCAATGTATTATTATCATAATTTGATCTAAGTCTGGTGGAAGAAAGCTCCATAATTTCGCCAAATACGGACATGCACCATTCTCGGTAACTGTCTTGTGAAACGTATGAAGAAAGAAAGGCTGCCCCTCTGACCATTGTAGATAGTCTTGGTTTTTTTGTATTGTACTCTTCTTATTTCTATCTTGGTCAATTAAATAAATAAAAATGAATGAAATTACAAATTTAGCCTTTTTAAAATAATTATCAAAACTCGCTATGAAAGATTTTAAATATTTCTTACCTATGGTGCTTATTACAGAGAGGCAGTAGTGTACGCCCCCAAGAAAATCCCAGTGAATAAAATCGTTCGGGTGTAATCCAAGTGTGTTGTATAGATTGCTCTGTAACTCCTTTAATGCATCCACAGGAATAGTATCATTATTAATCGAAGTATTGTATGCAACGTCCGTAATAAATTCCGTTAAAAGTATCTTAAATTCGTTATCGATTCGTTTCCGCCGCAGATTTGATTCTTCTTGTTCGATGGCGACGAAGACCACCGAGCCTAAAATAAGGTAGAAACACCAGACTCCACTTATCAGGATTATTGTGAAGTGAGCGCAAAGCCTTGCACAGCATTTGTGGCCCCTTAGCTGATCACGTCTACGCTGCAGTGTATGCATATTCATGTACTCCGGATTTACAGTTAGAACTTCCAAATCAATTATCCGTAAATCAAATCATTATCAACCAATCAAAGTATAAACTATAGGCCTTTAGGACTTAGACCTGTCAAATAAATTCACTGCAGTCATGCCTACACACCCCGCACCTCTGGTAACAATTATCGTTATAACAACATACATTATATTTTATATTCTATTGATGGATTATCTGTCGTTTGAACACGTAACAATTACTCATTTAACGGTGAACGTTATTGGTGGATAACACCCTTTGTTGATGCTGTTTATATCGATTGCTTGTTAGCGTTCGTAAGTATGTTTCTTGTTTATACTGCAGTGTAAGTGATAAATAGATGCATAGCATTCAAATGCATAACATCATTAATATCATCATATTGTTATATTATTATTAAAGGGTATGAAGGGTTTATTATAATTTTTTAAAAATACAATTTTATTAACAAATTAATACGTTGTTTATTCTCAAAACTATCCTCTACCTCTAATAAACATATTGAACTTCTTCTTTGTGTAATATATAATAGTATGAGGCCTATATACAAAAGAATATATAGTAAACCAGGTCATAGTCTTTCCATATATATATAGAGGAGAAAGACAATAAAAAATTAAAAAAAAACATGCAGAAATAATATAACATTACATTAAAAAAATAATAATATATTTTAATAATCCCCACAAACTTTTGATGAGGCGCCCAAATGTAATTAATTTTGCAAGTGGAAAATCCCTTCAGTTTCTTGTATTTGCTGTGTATTTTCTTCAATGAAGTAGTGAGAAATTTTCCCACAAGGTGCGATGTTTAGCATTCCAGAATCATGTACGTACTGACTAGTTCCACAAATTTGTTCTTACGTTTTTGATAAATATAGGCCCGTCCCTAAATTTGCAACCATTTTCCGGGCACTCACTTCGTCGTACGACGCGTCGCCACGAGCAGGGCTGGAGCCAGCAGGAGGGGCCAAGGGCCAGCCCCCCCCCCCCCCATCGGGGAGAAAAAACACAATTTGTCCGGGAGAAAACAAAATTACATGTACCAGTAGACTCTAAAATTGATTAAATAAGCCTTTGAAACCCCTATATTGTCAAAATATTTGGGGGATTCGCGCCCTGGACCCCGTCGGGCATATTCTGGCGCCACCCCTGGGTCACGAGACACGTTGGCCGAAGAATCCAACTCTGTTCTCTGTGACCATTAGACGATCGATGCCGTCATGGGTCATCAAGGTATCTTTCGATTAGGCCTGCTAAGGGGACACTTTCAGGAACAAACAGTTGTCCCCTTGAAAGACCGTAGGAAGCGGTCACCGGTCACCGGACCAATATTTCAACAATAAATATCGTTTGTATGCCAAAGTTGTCCTTTTGGCCTGACATAAAGCTTAACTCTCAAGCATCGAGGTTCGGTTCTTCCCTCCATGTGTACACTACGTTAGCACACACACCCTCAACCCCTACACCCACCACACGGAACGGATTTTAAAAGGATTATATGAAACGACTACGGTACCAAGCGAGTGAGATTAGTAGGATTATTTGCAACTTTTTGGATTTTTCAAAAAGCCACTTCAAAAGTGAAAATAGGCCTACTAAGCTTCATGGAAATTTCAAAACCTTTCATTAATATTTTCAAGAAACGGACGTTTCTTGGTATTGAACTGTACAGTATGTTGTTCAATCAGGGCACAAATTATATTTCATTGCATATGTTCTTTAAATACAGTTTGACATCAAATTCCAAACCACTAAAATGCTGTCTCTTATACACATCTAGATGTGTATAAGAGACAGTATTCGAGCACTGTAATTACTGTTTGATGATTTATATATATAGATATATATATATATATATATATATTATATATACATAAATTTAAAAATATATATATATATATTCATTTATTTATATCACTGAACAAACGTGTTCTACATGATATTATACATAAAATTATTAATAATAGGCATAAGCCTCCACATTCGTTTTGTAGCTACGTTTTCAAATGACAAAAAGTGTCCCGGCCAACCCAATGCCCTAGCTGTTTAAACAAAAGGTTTCAGTTGGAGAAGCAATTGTCAAGTCAGTTACTTATCGATTTATCGATACAAGATCACCATCACCGTATTATTATCGTTACCTTAAAGCCAGGAGCCTTGTTAAAAGTTGTAAAATATTCTGAAGTTCATGATGGATATGTTATATTTAAAAATATATTTATTGACGCCGTTCATTTAAACTATGTATAATGTTTCTGTAGTCTATATGAGGATTTGTATACCGAAATAAACACATATATCAGAAATAAACTACAGCCTAATATAGGCCTATAGAATATAGTAATTTATTAAATTGACTACTTATCTAAATTAGATATTCTATTTGTGTAAAAGTGCATGATCATAATAATTATCTCAGACCTAGATAAGATCTGCGTAGACGATAAATTCTATGATCTTGATACTAAAATAAGTGCCCAAGGGTTTGTTAAGGTACACTGCTGCGGACTGATAGTCTTATGCTATGAATATCATTAAATTGATAACTAATGACGATATTGATGATATTAACAATAATATTTATGATTAAGATGCTCATGTTATATCTACACAGGTAGGTATACGTTTGAAGAATACTCTTTAGTTTATGTTAAATAACAACCCAAAATCGTTTGACCCCCCACCCACCTTCCTCCACAAATCTTAAGGGCACTCGGTGATTGAATATTGTAGTTGACTAGCACCTTTTATATTGTATTTCCTATCAAATAGCAAAATGAACTCATCCCTTGATAAAGCCAAAAATGAACAATAAAAACCAACAGCTAAATTGTTTGATTCTTATTTTTCGATTTATTACGTTAGCTTTTAATCAAAATTGGAACGATAAAATGTTTCTCACTAATTAAAATACACAAAATAATTAGTTGACATTTTAATATTTTTCCTACACTTAAGTACAATCTATGGCTTACTAAGGATGTCTCAGCACATCGTTTGTGGTATTATTTTGCTTAAAAATGTTTTTCTATGATGCAGCGGCGGAGACAGCCCCGCTAAATTGTTCTTAAACAAAAAAAGGAAATTATAATATATCTATAGGAATCATAATGATAAAACAAAACTAGACTTATAGTTTTTGCATCTGCAGGGTCTCACAGCGTTTAATCAGTGGAATTATTAAAAAGATGTGTTTTAAGGACCGATTTAAATTTATTTAAAGTTGAGGACTTTACGAGGGAATTTGTTCCAAAGATAAGGTGAAACAGCAAAGAAGCCTTTGTTAGCCGTGGAATTTTAAAGGTTTATTTGAGGATTAATTTGTCGGATGAAGATCGTAAAGAACACGACGGTTAGTTTGATAAATGGAAATGAGGCTCGGAGGTGATGGGGCTGTGTTTTGGAGGCATTGTAATTGGTTACCCCCGTTCTTTAAATCATGGATACGCCACTGCTTTCGTTAACAAGGCAAGACTAGGTGGTTACGGTATGTTTCTATTAACAGACATTTTTTTCTGTAAGTATTGAAAATTGGCTTAAAAATGATTTGTTTTTTACCAATGTAGGCCGGATCAAAAGCTTTGGTGGATCGATCGGGCTGGGCCTGGCCGGGCCGGGTATATACGATACGGTACTAATATAATGATATTCTTCTGAATTCATATCAAATTATTGACCCTCCAAACGCCGTCAATGGTTGTTATCCGCAAAATTACAACTACAAAAAACGGATACTCTTACTTATATTTACCAATGCCACATACTTATATTTTATTATAATTTTTATACATTCCCTCCATTATTTTATTTCCACCCTTGAATCTGCCACTGATTCGAATTCAAATAATTCGACTGAATACGCCTCTGTACTGTGGAAATAGGCGTATTACATTAGAAATTAATGAAGAAATATATACACACAGTGGTGGAGCCAGCATTGCAAATGCTATAATTACCGACAGGGACATTCATCCCCAAAGTAACGTTTTATGGCTTATCGTACCCGACGAAGTCCTTACATGTGAATCACATTATTAGTGCTTTTTTTTGTTATATTTAAATGATACATTTTGATGATTTGTTTTGTTAAAGCATTCTGTTAATAAAATATATTAATAAAATTATGCTACTGCCTAACTGGTAGGCCTATGTTTCAATATTCATATACAAATTTAATAGACAAAATTCAACATAAAAATTGTACTCCAATCTCGCTAACATTTACTTGATTCGTCATAAGGTTTTTCCGATTTACTCTGTGCGTTCCTTGCCCATATTGCGGCTGCTAGTAATACAGCCTCAACTGAAGCCATAGTAGATAGGACCAAGATGTACCAAGTTGCTGTGTGCGATCCAGTGACGTCATATAGAGTTTCTGCAAATGGGCGAGAAACAAAGAACAATTAATCAAATTGGAATATTTTGTCGAAATATCAATGAAAAAGAGAGATACAGTATTTGCACATAGTACACCTCGTGTACAATGGACCTTTCCAGAGTGTCAAACTAACAACTGACCAATCAGAACAGGGCTAGTAATACGCGCATGTCCTACACACATGTTGTCCCACAAGCGCACGTGCTTGCGTACCGTAAAACCTTGAATTGAAACCCAGTGGGCTTAATCTCCAGATGAAGCCCATCCCGAATTGAAGCGCCCCCCCCCTCCTTTTTAGTTTGCAAAATTAGCCTCGAAAAGAATCCTGGCTTCTTTTCAAGATAGCATAGACTTCTTTTGGAGACAGTAGAGTACAGTACATACAGTGTAGATGAATTTCAAAAAACAAAAAAAATTAAAAAGAAATTGGTTTATACAACATGTGATTCAATACTCGTTAAATACACTCCATGATACAGACTGATGTTACAGTGGCCTTATTTATTGTTTAATATTACAAATTCACAAACTTCACAGGATTCATTTTGAAAAGAAGCCCATCTTTACTTTGCAAGAGTAGCCTCGAAAAGAAGCCCATCCAAAGTTCGCAAATTTGTGAACAATGACCTTTGACATAATCAATATATGCACCATGCGCGAACTACGCGAGACGGGTTATTGCGTTTTTTATATATTCAAACCGGCACTGATGACGTACCTCTGATTGGAGTAATCCAAAATGATCCGACACCAAATATTATGTACACTAATGCAACTCGTTCAGTTCGCATTTCATTCCAATGTATTGCTCCCATTGCAATATGGGGTAACAGCAAAAACAGAAAAATACGGGGTAGGATAATCCCTAAAAAGAAAAATAAAAACAAAAATATATAATGATAATTTTTACTTCGGTTACATCGGCAACAATGCAACACGAGAATGAAATTACAGTACTTTGGCCTCACTACTGACGATGGCTTAAGACTGTCCCCGACGATGAATCGCTGTCTGAGTTGGCCTTAAGCATAACACAAATTGTTGTGTTTCTCAAGCACACTTAAATTTGAATGTCAGGTTCGGTCGATAGATTAAAAGAAAATCATTTTTTCCACGACCAAAGTATATAGCCGTCTGCCGACGCACGGCGCCCAGGCTTTAGCAGACATGAGCAGACTACTCAGAATTCTCACGCAGTACACCTTGTAATGCTGTATTATACGCTTTATGCCTGTTTATACTTCAACGATAACGATAAAAAAGCTAAAAAACGATTGTTCATATAGAAAACAAAAGAAATAATATAATTTTTTACACTAGGACGATTCGATAACGATTTATCGTGTATATGATAACGAAATATTTTACCAAATCAAATCAGATGACATCATAATCATGGAAAAACAAATCGTTGCTACTACTACGATTTAATGTTTTTCCATGATTATGACGTCATCTGATTTGATTTGTCAAAATATGTTGTTATCGCATAAATAATAAATCGTTATCGAATCGTTCTAGTGTAACTTCTATTATTTCTTTTATTTTCTATATGAACAATTGCTTTTTAGCTTTTTTTTTTATCGTTATCGTTGAAGTATAAACAGGCCTTTAGGCTTGTTTTATTTCGTGTTAGTCTCTATGATTGTAGGAGTTCAACAATCTTACCGACCAAAGCAACTTTTCGAACAATAGGTGATGATATAAATATCATGCATGTGTAGGGTACAGCTGCCATAATACAATGTAGTACGATGAATAATATTGGTATCCCCTCAGATACTCTATTGTTCCATTCCCATAACCTGTCTGCAGATACTGCAGCGATGGTTCTACCAACAATGTCCCCTACACCTATCCATACTATTATAATAGGCAGTGAAAAGATATCCATCGTTCTGGCCCATAAGTAGTTGCCCTAGTATGAAAACATATAATAAAGACATCGAAAAGAAATATATAGTACAACACTCGATAAAAAGTAAAATCGATTTTCTTTATTCTATCTTAAGTAGGAACTTTCGTTGATATTAAAGTGCACCTAATTTAGGTCGAAATTCTATGAGATCAATTATACCAAAAAAGTCAAATAAAAACAAAGTAAAGTTAAAAAAAAACAAAAATTGTCCAAAGAGGGGGCTACCGCCCATAATACTTGGCTGTGGTAGAGACTTTTTATACCAGATGTTGTGTGTATGCTTTTTTATGTCGGTTGACTTTGATAAGGGCTAGCGCGGTTCGAACTACGAATGACCTCATCTGACCCACTGAGTGATATTTATAAGCAATTGCGCCCTCTGTAAATTCCTGTCTTCGATCTGGTGTACAAATTTCGCATCCCACAAGACTAGCATTTATAACAAACTTCAGAATCGCTTAATGTGGTCTGAAATTTCATGCTGAAGTTTTTTGTATTATCTTTAATTCAACATTGAGTACAATACCTAGGCCTACATTAGAAACAAGTATGAGAGTATGAACAGTAATACTACACTTACTGTAGTGATACAAATTACTGTTACACTTGTTGCAGTGAATATTGTACTGTATAATGACATCTGCAAGTCCCTTCTTCTTGACGTTTCAATAAATGCTACTATGCTTGAGTTAACTGGTTCTTTAGTTGAATTTGGTAGGCCTACCGTATCCACATCAACAACTCGACCCTCGGTTAACGTCACGTCAGCTCGTAGCTTGATTACCCTCTCCTCCGTTGATGGTTGTGGTAAGTTCGTATTGACGTCATCACTGGGAACTTCTTCATTTAAACTTTCAAGGTTATTCTTCATCTCTACAATCATGAGAATAGAAACATACCCGACGACTGCAAAAATGGCAACTACGCAAACCAAGATATCTCTATACACTGAATGGTTTAGAAACGGAAAAAATGGAGAAGCGGCAAAACCTGCAATAACAAGAATAAAATAGCACTAAGAATAACTTTTAATCACGAATGAGGATAATAGTCTTAATGATAATAATAATGATGATATTTTATGATAATGATTGATTGATAACGATTATGATTGATAATTCAAGTGCAGCTTGAATGTTTTTGAATGTTAGACCGTGAAGCGCGGTATCCGGCAGCGCTAATTTTCAGCAATTTGCGACTAGTAAGGGATTTATTTTGTTTATTCAAGCTGTGTTCAATATTGGATGTTTTGTGTATTTCTGTGACATTTTGGTGTTTTTTTTGTGTTTTTTTTAAATACTTAAATGTGTATTTTTGTGTGAATTTTTATAGGCCACACTGAAGCAATAATATATATTATATATAGATATATATATATATATAAATAATAATAATAATATAATAATATCAATACCCTTGAGCTACCCCTTACCCCGCCCACTTGTACTCCCGATGGATTGGCCTTTCTTTTTGAGCATTACCACCCCTTCCCCTCGATCTACGACATTAGAACACTCTTCTCTGGCACCACCACTGGTTTTAAACAATAATATGAGGCCTATGGCACAGCACTTACCGAGTGTTACGACAAACAAGACCAACCATATTACTCCAAAGTTATCGTTGCCAGTACGCCTCAGAACAACTTCGGAGATGGTCAACTCGGAAGAGTTGAATAAGAATCCGTGGAAGATACCATATGTAAAGTAGAGTATGATAACTGGTTGCGTAAACGATGAAGGTATCACCAGAGCAAGACAGAAAAGAGAAGCACCGATGGCAACTGTTATTAGCTGGCCTAGTCTCCGGAAAAGACAAGCTACCACGATGGAGCACAAACAAACGGCAGTGATGGAAGTGACACTGTAATCAGCTTAGGAAAACAAAAAAAGAAACATAATAAGGCTGTATACAAGATTGTCATTGGGGGCAGAAGTGTACAAAAAAAAGCGCTTAAGGACCAAAATCTCATGCATAAATGTAACCGCCTATAATAAAACTTAGATATAATTTGTAGTAACTATTCATCATATACTATTAACAGGGGCGTAGGCTGGAGGATGCTAGGTGCGGTGCGGCCGCACCCGACAAAAAAGGCAAGACATTCCGCTGGTGTAGGCATAGCCTATGCCTGCCTAGTACTACAATGAACAAATTGCAGGGCAGCAAGTGGAACTCGATTAGGCTTACAAAACCTATGATATGCCAAGTCAAAATAAAAACTCATTTTTTATACCAAATATTGAATAAACACTACAGCAATTACCTGCGTAAACGAAGTTGGCAGGAGGTAGTTTTTTTTTCTAATCTTTTCTTTCATTTTTTCGTTCGTTCGTTCGTCCGTCCGTAAGTCCGTCCGTCCATCCATCCATCCATCTTTATTTATTCATTCATTCATTCATTTATTTATTTATTTATTTATTTATCCGTTCTTTCGTTCGTTCGTCTGTTGGCATATTTTGTTGTGGACAGCCTACAGCCCATAGTTTTCATCAGAAACTCGTCAAACTTGAACACAATGTTCCATGTCCAACGATCTGGATGTAATTCAATGTTGAAGGTTTAGGAACAAGGTCACAATTACCTTTTTTTCTTTAAAAAAAAAAAAAACCCTTTTAACAGTTTAAAAAACCCATCAAACTTTGCCAAAATATTCCATGATCAATGAAACTGACTAAATTTTACGGGTCATGGTCAAAGGTCAAGGACACATATACACGAAAAAAAACTACTTGTATTATTAGAGCAGCTAAAAGAATAATCGTGCACTTTTGCAGAAAAGCATGAAACTTCCCACAGGATCAATAAAAACAAAAATAGACCTCAAAAAGTGGCAGCCATCTTGAAATACAAAATGGCCGCCAAAATCTTATATTTTTATAAATATCCCCGTAACTACAACACCTAGTACTGTCATTCAAAGGTCTTACTAATGTTTTCAATATCGGGGAGTATATGCAATCATCAGAAATTATAACAGATGGCCGTTAAAATGCTTGTTTAAATTATTCTATAAAGATATCAATTTGCTTCAGGAAATATCATAAGACTGATGTTTTGCCCTACCTGACACGTTATCATACCGAATACGCAGTACGTCCCCAAATACTAGCGAAAAAAAGTCGGAAGTGATTCGGGTGGGAATCGAACCCACGACCTCCAGGTATCTAGCCTTATCTCTTAACCACTAGACCACCGAGCTTGCGCTTGGTAACTAGTGATGAATCCGATCGCCTACTAGTAGCAGCGGGTACTGCAAGTGCTATAAAGATATGAATTTGAGTCAAGAAATATCATCGGAGTAATGCTTTTGTTTGTACTACTGTCTGATATAATAACTACTAGCATTTATGCATCACCATCAATATATATATGAGCCTCATTCGCCTAGTTCTTCTAGTTTATCTCCATTACTTTCGATTCCTTAACTGTTTTTCATTAATTTCTGTATATTTCCATTTCTTTCATATACTTGATACTTTTTACTTTTTCGTTTATCATATTTGTGCTAATTGTATTCTGATGTCTAACGTTTTAATCTTTGTTGGTCTATTTGTTTACTTATTTATTTATATATTTATTTATTTATATATTTATTTATTTATATACATTTATATATATTTTTATACATTTATATACATTTATGTACATTTATATATATTTATATACATTTATATATATATATATTTAATATAAATGGATAGATGGATTTATGGATGGATGGACGGACGAACAAACGTACAGACGAATGTATAAATATATATTAATGAATGTATAAATATATATGAATGAATGTGTATATATATATAATAATAATATGTTACATTTATAAAAATAATAATAATAATATAATAATATCAATACCCTTGAGCTACCCCTTACCCCGCCCACTTGTACTCCCGATGGATTGGCCTTTCTTTTTGAGCATTACCACCCCTTCCCCTCGATCTACGACATTAGAAAACCCTTCTCTGGCACCACCACTGGTTTTAAACAATAATATGAGGCCTATGACACAGCACTTACCGAGTGTTACGACAAACAAGACCAACCATATTACTCCAAAGTTATCGTTGCCAGTACGCCTCAGAACAACTTCGGAGATGGTCAACTCGGAAAAGTTGAATAAGAATCCGTTGAAGATACCATATGTAAAGTAGAGTATGATAACTGGTTGCGTAAACGATGAAGGTATCACCAGAGCAAGACAGAAAAGAGAAACACCGATGGCAAATGTTATTAGCTGGCCTAGTCTCCGGAAAAGACAAGCTACCACGATGGAGCACAAACAAACGGCAGTGATTGAAATGACACTGTAATCAGCTTAGGAAAACAAAAAAAAAAGAAACATATTAGGGCTGTATACAAGATTGTCATTGGGGGCAGAAGTGTACAAGAAAAAAGCGCTTAAGGACCAAAATCTCATGCATAAATGTAACTGCCTATAATAAAACTTACATATAATTTGTAGTAACTATTCATCGATTAGGCTTACAAAACCTATGATATGCCAAGTCAAAAAAACTCATTTTTTTATACCAAATATTGAATAAACACTACAGCAATTACCTGCGTAAACGAAGTTGGCAGGAGGTTGTTTTTTTTTGTTTTTTTTTTCTAATCTTTCTTTCATTTTTTCGTTCGTTCGTTCGTCCGTCCGTAAGTCCGTCCGTCCATCCATCCATCCATCCATCTTTATTTATTTATTCATTCATTCATTCATTTATTCACTCATTAATTTATTTATTTATTTATTCGTTCTTTCGTTCGTTCGTTCGTTCGTCTGTTGGCATATTTTGTTGTGGACAGCATACAGCCCATAGTTTCCATCAGAAACTCGTCAAACTTGAACACAATGTTCCCATGTCCAACGATCTGAATGTAATTCAATGTTGAAGGTTTAGGGACAAGGTCACAATGTTGTTTTTTTTTAATCCCCTTTTAACAGTTTTTTTTTCATCTAAAATCCATCAAACTTTGCCACAATATTCCATGATCAAATGGAAGTGACTAAATTTTACGGGTCATGGTCAAAGGTCAAAGACACATATATACGAAAAAAACTACTTGTATTATTAGAGCAGCTAAAGAGAATAATCGTACACTTTTGCAGAAAAGCATGAAACTTCCCACAGGATCATTAAAAACAAAAATAGACCTCAAAAAGTGGCAGCCATCTTGAAATACAAAATGGCCGCCAAAATCTTATATTTTTATAAATATCCCCGTAACTACAACACCTAGTACTGTCATTCAAAGGTCTTACTAATGTTTTCAATATCAGGGAGTATATGCAATCATCAGAAATTATAACAGATGGCCGTTAAAACGCTTGTTTAAATTATTCTATAAAGATATCAATTTGCTTCAGGAAATATATAAACACAGTACGTCCCCAAATACTAGCGAAAAAAAGTCGGAAGTGATTCGGGTGGGAATCGAACCCACGACCTCCAGGTATCTAGCCTTATGTCTTAACCACTAGACCACCGACCTTGCGCTTGGTAACTAGTGATGAATCCGATCGCCTACTAGTAGCAGCGGGTACTGCAAGTGCTATAAAGATATGAATTTGAGTCAAGAAATATCATCGGAGTAATGCTTTTGTTTGTTTTACTGTCTGATATAACTACTAGCATTTATGCATCACCATCAATATATACATGAGCCTCATTCGCCTAGTTCTTCTAGTTTATCTCCATTACTTTCGATTCCTTAACTGTTTTTCATTAATTCCTGTATATTTCCATTTCTTTCATATACTTGATATTTTTTACTTTTTCGTTCATATTATCATATTTGTGCTAATTGTATTCTGATGTCTAACATTTTAATCTTTGTTGGTCTATTTGTTTATTTATTTATTTATTTATTTATATATTTATTTATTTATATACATTTATATATATTTTTATACATTTATATACATTTATGTACATTTATATATATTTATATACATTTATATATATATATATTTATATATACTTATATATACGTATATATATGTGTATATATATAGTTATAT